CCCCTAACCATAAAATTATTTTCGTTGCTACTTCATCACTGTCATGTTGCTACTGTGATGAATTGGGTGACCCCGTGAAAGCATCATTCAAACCCCAAAGGGGACACGACCCACAGGTTGAGAACTGCAGTTCTAGAGGGTGGCTGAGAGCCAGGATGACGTGTGTCAATGGGTCTTTTAAAATTCACTCCACAGAAGGGAGACGTCAGTCAGTGTAAGATATGACAAAATAATAAAAATTTATAAATTATCAAGGGTTCATGAGGGCGGGGCAAGCGGGGAGGGAGTGGGAAAATGAGAAGCTGATACCAAGGGCTCACGCAGAAAGCAAATGTTTTGAGAACGATGACGGCAACATGGATGGATGGATTGTGGATTGTGATGGATTGTGATGGATTGTGATGAGACTTGTATGAGCCTCCAGTAAAATGATTTTTAAAAAATCACTCCACAGAATGTTTTAAGCACCTACAAGGTGCGGGGTACTTGGCAGGTTGGGTGCAAGTGTGAGCACATGATGCCCCGAGAGGGAGGAGGCCCGGTCAGCAGAAAGACCAGGACTCAGCAGGGACTTGGAGCTTCTCGTGGGAAGCAGAGAGGAGTCTGGGAATGAGAGTGAGAACAAGAGAGAGAACGTGTGTGAGGGGGCGGGGGAGGATGCTCAGAGGAAAAGGATCAGGAGGGCTGCCTGAGAGGAGGACCAAGGTTCCTGGCAGGGAGGGTACCGAGCCCACTGGCAGCAATCGCAGCTCCGTGGTCATGCAGGAACCCTCTTGTTAGCGCTGGCCCTGGGCCACCCTGTCTGGGTCTCTACCTGGCCAAGAAGCAGCTGAAGGGGATGCGAACAGGGAAGTTTGCACTGCGGTTGCAGACAGCCTCCAGGGTGCCCGCTTGGCGCAGCTGCTCTGCCACGTGTCCTACATCAAAGAGGCCTGGGAGCTGGGTTCAGGGTACAGGGCCAGGGAAGCCATGGTCAGATTCTGGGGTTTAAGGCCATCTTGGGGCAGGACACACAGGAGGTGGGGGCAAAGGGGGTGGGGGACCCTGGGAAAGGTGCATTTCCCTCCCCAACCTGGGGCTGGGGGCTGGGAAGCTCACCTTTCCCGGGTTGGGGTTGATGCACTGAATAAAAGAGACGTGGCT